TTTTATTTTATTTTATTTTTTTTATTTAGAAGGCATGCTTGGCTTCAGCAGCTTATCAAGAAAGCACTGTAGGGAGCCAGAAGCAGAATTCTTAACAACTTCACTGTTCTGTTTCACTTTTCTAAAGATGTGTTTAAAAACACAGTTCCCATTCCATCAATGCCCACTTTAATTTATAGGTCAATATATTCTTTTTTTAATATCAGATGCTGTATTGATCCTGAGGAGTTACTACATCCAGGACATGCCAAGCATACGAAGTTCCAAAGCATCACTCTCAGCTATCCTATCATTTCTAGGTAGCTGATAAATTCAGTATGTCAACTGCTGTATCACAAGTGAAATCTGACTCACTCACTCAGTGCTGAGATGAAATACATTCATATGTGAAGCTATTTTTAATATAAAATTCTTAGCTGTTCCTTGAGTTAACTTGCTTACATGGCTTTGTACATGTGAAAATGTTTCAGCTGTTTAACCTTCTCTTTTCCCATTCATGTTTTTCAAGAGCCATGCTTTAGCGTGAGAGGATTTTTTAAAATTCAATTCAGTATGTGGATCACTTCAAGTCAGAAAAAGGCAAGTTCTAAGGCTAACCCCACTCAAATTAAAGGAGAAATCTGGCTGATTTCAGTGGACTCTAGATTAGGCATTTTGCTAGGGCAAATCTGGGGCTAAGCTACAGCCAGCTATGGCTTTGTTAAACAGCTCTGGTATCAACGAAAGATTTTAAAACATGTTCCAGCATTTTTTAGACTCCTGGAAAGCCCTAATGCGTTGCTTAAAACTAAAAATATATAGGAAATGTATTTACACGGATCTTTGCTTTGGAAGAAGGACTAATAGTTGCCCAGTCATTGTTTACTGGCCTGCTATAGCAAATTGCCTGTAGATCTTTGAATTTCATTGCCTTGCAGATCTTTGGTTCTGGTGTTTGCTCAGGAAAACAATATTGATGTGGTCTTAGATTGGCAAAGAGAACATCTTCATAAAGCCAGATGTGTTGTGCACATAAGGTGCACGATGTCTCAAACTCCCTTAGAAATCCAAACAAGAAGGAAAATATATCCCATTTTAAATATTTTGTTACAAATGCAGTTATAATGCTATAGGCCCCAATCTCTGTCCCCACTACAAATCTGGAACTGGTGCACTGGCATCCAAGACTCTTCTCAAATTACATCAGGGTAAGTAATGTAAAAAAGCACGTCTAGATACAATTACTGACACATTTTTTCCTAAGATATTAAGACAAAATTCAGGAGATTACCACACTCTCATGAAATAAGGCTAAGGTAATGGCTGCATTCCACTGAAGTCACCCCAAAGAAGCTTTAATTTCCTTTTCATTTCTTGTTTCCTAAAAACAAGATTCTTGTGTGTTTTCAGATCCATCATATAAAGGTGAATGGGGTGGGGAAAAAAGCTCTGTAAGATGACCATTTTTTGTTAAATTCTGATGGGTAATAGGTCACGTTCATAGAGAACAACTGACTTCACCCCTTTTGAGTTTTATAAGTTATTTCCATCATCTGTTCAGACATAAAATTGCCTTTGCCTTAAGGAAATTTTACAGGCCATGTGAGGATCCAAATTACCTATAAGTGTAACTGACCCACTTTTAAGTGTGGCACTTTAAAGAGTATCCCCAAAATGCCTTCTGTCTCACACTGTGGCAAAGAGCCCTAGAGAGCTGCTAAAATACCAGTGTCCTACCAAGAAAGGTGTTATCAAGCCAGTACTTACTGCTGAAGACCAATTTTAAACGAAACGCTTTGATGGCAGCGGTGAGAAGGACGCACACAGGTGGTTCTGTGTTCACGGCAATGGCAGTGAATGGGAAAGCAGAACAACACCGGCTTCACTCGGCTGGAACCTTCCCTGCAGTAACAATCAAGGAAACCCAGATTGCTTCAATCTGCACTCCCGTTTTATTGCCATCAGGATCACTAAGATTATCAAAGAATCACTGTCTGTGTCCTGCATGATCTGTTTTTAGCAGTACTGTGTGGAAGTGTATCTTAGATGGGTTAAAAAGAGGGAGTCTTATTTCTAGTTACAATAGTTTAATGCCTTTTGACGCACGTAGCAACAGCATAAGTATGTTTTAACTTATAATGCTGTGCACACCATATTCTGATCTGCTGCTTATGCCAAGAAAATATGGAACTGTGAGCCAAAAACTGTACAATGTCATTCAGAATAAGAACCCATGGTATAAACTTATTTAAATGTAATAATTTTTATTCATTGTTTGTATTCCTTAGCTTAATAAACTGCCTACCCCTCTGCATTTACTCCACAGTGCTTGCTTAATACAGGATACACAAGCTTCTTCTTGTTAAGCAGAGAAAAACCTCATTTTCTCTGTGTTTCATAAAATTCAACCTAATCCTTTTAGAAAATGGAAAAATAGCAATTTCTGGGAGTTGAGCATGGATATATGGAGGTCAGCAAATAACTATCAAGGTTTCAAAATGCATTCAAAATGCAGATCTCTGACATTAGTAAAAAAAAAAAAGAGAGAAAACAACACATCCCCTAAATTACCTCACAGCTATTTGCATACAGGGTCCAGAGGCAGTACAGTATAAGTACGGAGAAACCAGCCATCCAAAGACAACTTAGCAACAGCTCTGCTGGATGCTCTCTGTGTCTGTAGCAGAAAAAGGGCAACTCTGAAGCTCAGATGTGCAAACAGCTTTAAAGGACTAAAAAATCTCTTGGCAGATGCATCAAGCAAAAATCTGAAACTACAAACCAGGTAATTTATCAAATAATTTCCTTTTCAGCTAACTTTCCTTCTAAAGATTGCTCTGAGCCAAACAGCCTATGTGATATTCTTAAGGCTGTTATCCAAGGACTTCATCAAAAGTGATAGAAACCTGCCAGTAAGAGAGGTATTCTCTATTCTCATTGTCTATTTTAAAAATTTGTAGAGTTTTGTAAAATTGTGCATTTCTTTTATGTTCTGAACATATTATTAAGCTCCATGACTGCTATACTAGTATTAAAGGTGTATTCCATTCCACTGAAAATAAAACTATGATAAGTGCGTTAGGAATTCCAGTGTTAGCTAGAAGAAATAGAAAAACACTTGTTATCTGGACAAGAGGTAAGAGAGGAGATGATGATGATGATGATGATGATGATGTTGTCGTCTCTGAAAAAAATATGAGGTGCTTCCCCAAGGCAAGAAATCTCCCTGACCAACGGACCTTACTATTGACAAATACACAGACACAATGCTGCTTTAAATGTATAGAAATAGATATTAAAAAACTAAAGTTAGGCTGTAACTAAAGGTGGAATGAAAGTGCTGCAAATCCTAGCATTTTTTTTTAACTAAAGCAAATAAAATTGCCTGGCGGGGATTGTTAGTGCAGATACATGTGTCTGAACATCATGGGGCAACAGTTAACACAGAGTTCAAGAGGGAAATTATTTTTGCCTCTTGGCAGAAGGCAAAGCAATATCACTGGCTTTCAGAACTATCTGTGAATCAGGGAGTTAGGTGTTTAAAATGTTCATATTTATTCTGCCAGAAAAATGAACAAGTGCCTGGTTTTAATTATGAAGAATTTACAGATTCTTTGAAGAATATAAAATAAACTGAGAAGTTAGTAACAGAAATTAGGAAATACCATCCTAAAAGACTTCAGTCCCTACAGCAGTGCCATATTTCTTTTTCAGTACCTGGAAATATTGCTATTACTGCTAGGTTTGTTTGCTCCATCCTCCTCCCTGTTGTTCTCTCTCCCATGGAAGTTCCAGGAGCCTCTGTCACACAATGCCATCTATCCAGCTGCCACTGCTGCTCCTCTGCCTGACCTTGTGTAGTGTTTGCCTCAACGGGGAGCAGCCCCTTCCAGGAGGAGGTGAGGACATGGGAAGAAGTCCCCTGGATGACATCCTGCAGAGATCTGGAAGCCTTATTCTTCAGTCTGTCCTCAAGAAAGCTGACAGGGAAGAAGGGATGAATAAAGGTATATGTAACACTAGGCACATCCATCGGGTGATGTTGGCATAGTACTTGGCTGAGATCATTAGATCCAATGTTTAGTTGCCAGGTTCTAATGTATATATTTATTACCCTAACTAAGGAGAGGGGAAGCATAGGAGGTCTGCTGCAATACCTGGACACAGAGTTCTCAAAAGGCACTTTATTCTCTAAAATCTCAGTGCTCATGCAATGCTGTACCATCACTAAGCAGATGCTGCATAGCAAGATAGCAGCCTGTCTGGCAAGTACTTCCTTATGGAAGCTCTAAGAGGAGGCGTGGAGGACATTCCCCAGTTGTGGACCCTGTACCTACTGTTAACTAGAGGTGGGAGTGCCACCATTCACCTACGACCTCAACTCACTGGTTTCTACACCTGAGCAGAGGTGGGCTTTTCTGTGGCAGGGAATGCAGAGGCTGCTCCAGCGTCTGCCGCCTCTGACCTTGCAGATGCTCCACTCTCGCCAGTCACAGCAGTGGAAGCAAATCAGCCTTAGGGACTGCAGGAAGTGGCACACAGGAGCCTGCCACCACAAAGAGCACAGAGCCCTTTCAGAGTGGAAAGAGAAGCTGGCCCCAGGTGCCTATAAAAAGAGCTTTCCTCCCTCTTCACATGAGTGCTGAGGGCTGGTCATTTCAATCCAAGACCTGAAATATTAAAAAGAGCTTAAGAATGAGTAAGAGATACTAATAGAGTTATGATTGGTAGCTGGAAATACTATGCTGGCTTTCAAATGTCCACATCCCTGCTTTTACTTGTGCCTCAGCCCTATCCTTTCCCTGCCTCATGCTGATTTCCAGCTCTTCCCCATACCCAGCTGCTTCAGCTGATTTCTTCAAGCAGCTCAGCATCTTTCTGAGATGATCTTCATCACCTCCCTTTACCTGAACCTGACACATTTACCTGAATCAACACATTAGGCTATGCCATAGCATGTCTTCCCACTTACCTGCTGCTAGTTCCTAACCAATCCATCCTTGCTAGAAATGTGCCAGAACTGCTTTGACAGATGCCATTCAGGGTGATCAAATTCAAGACTGCACAGTTAACTGTCCAATCAAATGGGCGTAATGAGCAATAGATGATGATCCTGCACCACAGAACTCCACAAATTCCCATTTCAAATTCCTTGGTGAGGATTATGGCAGGATCATTAACTTTATTCTTTTCCTTGGACAGAATCAAATGCCCCTCTGCCAGATTGGCTTTCCAAAAGACAACGCCCTGGGAAAAAGTACCTGAGTGACCTAGAGAAGAGACAGCATCCTGGAAAAAGAGAAGTTGAGGAAGACACATCTCATGGAGATGTTCAGAAGAGGCAGCATCCAGGAAAGAGAGAGCTAGAAGATGACCTTGATGGCTATCTGGAGCTGAAAAAGCGACAACATCCTGGCAGAAGGTCATTGTTGGATCAGTTTGCTGACATCCCCAGTGCACAGCTAACCTACTTGCATGAGTTATCCAAAAGGCAGCATCCTGGCAGAAGGTATCTGATGTCCAAGCACCAGCATCCTAGCAAAAGAGGCTGGAATGATGAGGTAGACCTAAATGACCAATATGGTGAGAAACACCAGCACCGTGGGAAAAGTCACGGGAATTCTGACAGCCCAGATGATGCAGGCCCCTGCAACTTTCAGGGGTCCTTCACCTGTAACAAAGGCAGCTTGTTGCTTGATTTAGTAGAAAATGTTAGCAAAGACAGGGTAGAAGGAAAACGTCAGCACCCAGGAAGGAGATCAGCATGGGAGAATGAAACAGAGGAATAAGAAAAAAATTGTGTATTATTTGCATTTGGTGAAGTAAACTGCCAGATCACTAAAAAATTCTGGTCGCTCCATTTTGGCTTATGCTGCTGACCTCTGCACCTATCTTTCAGTGCATTAATGCTCCCATTTAAGTCAATGCCTTTGTCACACACTTAAAGTAAAAGAACTAAAGGATCTAGCTGAATGGAACAGGCAAGTATTGAGAGTCTTCAACTCCCTCATTTAGGTAGTGAAGAGTGCTCATTTCCTTATGGACCCAGACCCCAGAATAATCTCACTGTGTGCCCAATTTTCTGTTCCCAAATGACTAAACCAGGCTCTTAAATATCTGCTCCAATGCTACTAAAGTTGAATACTTATATGGTTTATTCTCACATCAGTGGAACCAGTAAATTAATGGAGAGAGAGAGAGAAAAGAACAACATATGCCAATGATTTCAAAACAAAATGGAATAGGTTTTCAGTTCTAAATGGTACATGAATAAGACCTGAACCCCTGTGCACTGCAATCTGTCCAGACAGTAAGCACTGTGCAGAGACAGGAACTGTTCCGACTGCGGCAGATTGGGTGACTGCACAGTCTGACTTCAAACAGAGCATCTTGGCCACAAGCTGTGAATCTGACTATGCACAGCCCCTGCTGGAACTGCTGCTCTGGTGTGTCCACATTTCAGTCATGCCACTTGAAGTCATGCCTTCTCCTCAGACATTTAAAAACGAAACAGGCAGATATCCTTTTTGTTTTTCCTCCTCTCAAAGGAATGCATTTACTTCCCGTGGTCAGACTCCCAAACGTGTTTATTTCATATGAACAATTCAATAAAAATCAATAGTCAACTCTGGGTGTCCTTGTTGCTTGTGCAAACATACCGTAATAGAGTGAAAAACATAAACCCAACTCAAGCTAAATAAAAAGAAATACTTTAACATCAAAGGGTGTTTTTCTAGGCAAAATCTTCTTGCATGTTGATGGTCAGTGCATGTTTATACATAAAACTGTTTTGCTGCTGAAGGTTGGTTTAGATATAGACAGGTTCCCTTTTAAAATCTTCTACCTGTACGACACACAAAATTATGCATCTGGGCTAAACCCACAGCAAGCCTGTCACCTAGTTCACAGGGCACTGTACTAGAAGTCTGATTTCCTGTTCACAGGTCTAAACAATAGATTTACTGGGCTTTGCAATGAATGCACAGTTATTGAGTGCACTGAGTCATTCATACCACTTCTTGTACATTCAAAGAGGTTAGAGCATGTCAGTATTTCACTAGAATATTAATTTTTTATAAACAAATTAGTATGTTTTCCACTAACATTAATCTTTCTCAATACCACCAGGACACATTAAGTGCCATGAGTGTTCCTTTTAAATCTGGTGGTTTCCCAAATCAGTGCCTCAGCATACTTCCTGTTATAGAAGTTAGATTTGCCATACGAAGAATCACAGAATCACAGAACATTAGGAGTTGGAAGGGACCTCAAAAGCTCATCCAGTGCAACCCCTGCCAGAGCAGGATCACCAGACCAGGTCACACAGGAACACGGCCAGGGGTTTGAATGTCTGCAGAGAAGGAGACTCCACAACCTCTCTGGGCAGCCTGGGCCATGCTCTGTAACCCTCACACTGACAAAGGTTTTCCTCAGAATCATCTCAGCAAGTTTCACTGAAGTTAAATGCTCCCAGGCAGATCAATACATGGTCTATTAAACAATTTCTAACTTGTCTAATTATAGCAAGTTGTAGTTCTCTTTAATCCTGGGGTTCCTGCACCTATATGATTATTTAAATTATGCTAAACATGGCTCATGGAGCTACATCATCTCTGAAAAGACTTGGAGATAGAGCTACAAATGCAACCTAGGAAAGAATAAAATTGATCACCCAATTCAGTTTTTGCAGGTAGCTTAGAATTTGCACATGCTGGGGATCCGATAACCATATTTAATCCCATGCATTTTTTGAAACATAAGACCATTTACGAAAAGGGAACAAAAGTCTTGGTTCTCTCCATTTTATTTTAAATTTGCCCTTTAAAACTTTCAAAAGCTATGTTTCAAAAGCAAAGTTTCTGTGACTATGAAGCACACACAAGCGCAGGTTCTGAAGTTAAGTACCTGTCAGAAGAACCTACACTCTAAACACTTTTTGGCTCTGAAGTTGGACTAAGGGACTACCCAGAAAGGAACCAGCTTCTATATCACAATGCTCTCCTTCTTTGCATAGTAAATACTGTGCAATCTCTTACCACCATGAACTACACAGACATATATCACTTAGTTATAAGGTAATAATTTGTTATTTGCACGTCTCTCATCATCTAGTTTTTATTGTATACCTTCCCATCCCTGTCATCTTTTATTAGAATTTAACACTGACACGTTACTAGCTTTGCTCAGTCACACGCACAGCTGTACTTGCACATTTTGGTAACTGCAGAACAGGGAGTTTAAGCTGCCACGTTCCCTGATGAAGTGCACTACCTGTCAGAAAGAGCCTGTGGCTCTTCAGGATGATAACAAATCAATAGCAGACTTGGTCCAAAGGTCATGGAAGTCAGTAAAAAACCTCTCTTGTCCTCTGCAGAATCTGGATTAGATCCACAGAGCAAAGCTGCACTGACCCTCATGTGACACCACAATAATGCAAAATCTTATTTCCAGCTTTAATTGAGAGTAAAACAATCATGCACAGAGGAGTTCTTTGTTTATTGCAGTTCTACATTGCTGGCATGTTACCAGTTATTGAGACATAAGAGAGTTTGATTCCTATAGAGCAACTTTTACAAGTGTCTTCAAATGAGCAACCAAAAGTTGATGTGAACAAGCTGTATAATTAACATTTCCTGCAACTATTTTCAACTCCTCTCACCATTACTGCTCTGTGCCCCCTCCCACACACTTAGCCTTGACCTCTTTGCTAACCCACTCTAATTAGCATAGTCTGAGTGTTTCCAAGGGACATGTGGCCCAAACAAACACTTTTATTACTACTTTTAATGACTCATTAGTTGGAGAAAGTTTGAAAACAGCATCATCACCAGAGCTGAAGCAGAGGCACTGCTTGCCTGGTAACTATTGCAGTTAACATTAAATAGCCAGCCGCAATTTTAATGCATCAACCAGGACATTTGAATAAAACTACGACCAAAAGCAGTCAAGTGGAGAGGGGCTGCAGAAGGGACAAGCCTGGGTGAGGTCTAGGCTGCACAGACACGACACAAAGGTGCAGATGGGGAAATCCTTCCGGTTCTAGGAAATGGCTATGTGAACTCTGCATTAGTGCAGAAGTGCTGCTCTCCCTCCCAACCAGAGCAGCGTGAACTCCCCACCCTAAGGGGTAAAGGGAAGGATTCAGGTTGAGCATAAAGACCTTGCATAAAAACAGATGGGGAAGTTCCCTGAGAAAACTGCACCTTCCTCACATTCACATGAATTGGAGAGAGGGAAAATCTGAATTTAGTAAATCATGCAAATACTCCTGCAAAATGGGATGGAGGTAAACCAGGATCCAAATTGCCCTATCAAAGGAAGTTAATTCCTTGCTATCTTCTCTCCATAATGTATATCCTAACTGAATGCAATTGAGTATGATGCAGTGTAGACACTTTAATGGCTAATTGGTATAAGGAAAATGTGAGAATATGACTGGGAAAATGACCTGCTTTGAAGAGGTTGCCTGAAATATGAGTTCTGTTTTAAACTGATATTCACAGAGAAGATACGTTTTCAGCATGAGTTCCCTCTTCGTTCTGAAGCTAGTACTGATGTGTGGGGTGACTCTTGTAAAAAGAGAGAGGAGGAGAGGGAGGAGGAGAGAGAAAAAACATGACAAATGAAAAATATAGTAAGACTTCATGAAAGGTTCTCTGAGCCAAAGCAGTCAAGACAAAAACCTAGCTCTCCGAACAAGCAGGTGTTGTTAAAGAAGACAGCAACAACAGCCCTGCAAAAAATCACAAATTATTCACTGTCAAATACCCACTGCTGAGGGTATTCTGCTTATTGATCTTAGATGTGCTGCTTTCAAGATGGGAACTGGTTGCTGTACAAATCTGCAGGGGAAATAGAAAATGAGAGGCTATAGGGGGGCAGCACCCAAATACAGATGTTCTTGAAATCTGTAATGAGCCCTGAACATAATATTATGGCATATGGATCCTACAGTGAAAACATTAAATAAAATATAAGCACAAAGGAATTCTGCATCTTCCTGTCTCTCCTCCTTACAATTCACCTGCTCTGTGTAAAAGTGGAGTCGTTCCACGGCACTGGGGACCAACGTGCCAGACTCTTCAGCAGTGCCAAGGGACCAGACTGGTGCAGATGACTGCCCTGCCAGCACTGAAGCAGTTAAGAGGCACATCAGACAAATGGGGCTCAACAAGTTGTCAGCTGCAGCTCTTAAATCGGCATGCTGTCAGTTTTGATTGATGTGTCTGCAAACAGACATGGGTTTGGCACAGAAATGTGGCTTTTATACTCTCTACACAGACTAAATAAGCAAATTTGTTTAGTATAAGCAACTTGAGTATATTGAATATATGAGTTTTGTTAAAAGGAACAGTGATATGCAAATTTTTTACTTCTCTGAACAAAATGGAAAATATAGAAAATGTTTTTAAAAAAGTTTTCTCAGATAAATTAAAATCAAAGAACATTTTATGTTGTAGGAAGAATTTTGTGCTACCATTTCAATATTAGGACATCTAAAATTATTTAAAAAAAATTTATGATTAAATTTTAGGATTTCATTTAGGCCAATTTTAAACACATCATCAATTTAAATGAACTAGCTGATTAGTTTAGGGAATACTTAGGAAGAACTCTCTGATTTTCCACTCCGCTTCTGCCCCAAAGTCAACATGGTTCATTTTCAGATATTTTAAACTTTTTTATTTCAGTGAGTAAGCCATTTTTGTGCAAAAATGTTCCACTGCATTCCTTGAGAGGTAGACAGGCATCATCAAGAACTCCTTCCAGTCTCCATTTACCTCTTCTG